AAGACAGTATAAGTCATTATAATCCATAATTATGTCCCCACTGGATGCAACGAATGCCTCGTTTATAATGGGTTTTCATGTTTTTGAATCATCGCTCCGGCCTGACAGAGCATCATCACAATATGGTAAGGGGCGTAACATTTCCGTCACACGCTTGAGGTATTCGGCCAATCACAACGCACTGGATAGCTGGCCAATCAGAGGACACCTCGCTTTTCAGACCGATGAGCTTTGTAAAAATCGACACGTTTCAGAAAGGCGGGGCATAGAGGGGAAACAATAATGTACAGCATGTAGAAAATAATGTGTTTTTTTAACCTTAAACCGCATAAACACATTTCATTACACCAAATACACAAAATAATGTTCTTTTTAGCAACATCATATGACCCCTTTAACACATCACTCCAGTGTTGTCATTATTTGAAATAAAGCTGATATCAAATGTTCAAGATGAAAAACTTAAATTAGAAATGTTGTCTTGGCAACTAACTAAAATAAAATAAGTTATTATAAGTACTATAAATAAGTACTAAAATGGCTGAAATTAAATAAATGAAATCTAGATAGAAAAAACAATTTAATTGACAAAAGCACAACATTACTAAAACTGAAATTATAGAAATAACAGATAATTCAAAATATTGATAAATACTATAATATTATATAAATACAGAGGTGTAGTTTTATAATGGCTTTTTACTCAAGTATAAATAGTTTTGTTGACATTTACTTCACTAAATTTTAAAGAGAAAATTTATACTTTCTCAATACATTTCTCCAGCCCCTTTCATAACATTTGCAACTACAAAGCACAAAAAAGTAATAACAGCAAGAAAATCTTTGTGGATCGGTCATTATGATATCCAGTTCACAAATTAATATTTTAATCAAATTCAGTTCCTTTGAATCTCTACTTTTTTGTGAAAGGTATTAAACAAACTCTCCCTTCATCATATACAGTAGTTGCAGCCTATATTTATATTTGTATACATTTATTTGTTTTAGTGTTTAAGCGATGCTAAAGATTAATTGATCAATTCATTTCACAAAAAGGTCTGAATGATCCCAATCACAAATCTGAATCTAAATATCGAAAAGCACAACATTTTTGTGTTAAAGAATGTAATAGTAATGATATTGTATTTTTACTTTCTTACATATTGTATATTGTATCATGTAAAGTATATGCACTTTTATAACTGTGTTTCTGTTAAAACACAGTAGTATGAAATTTCATTTCAACATAATTTATATCATTTATTGCTGAATTAGGAGTTTATGGCAGTATGAACACGTACACAGTATGAATCACTGTCAGATATGAATTAATTAAATGGTATTGTAATTAAAAATTTTCTTTCAGATATAAAAATGAACAATTCAGTAATAAAAAGTGATGCAGCATCATTAAGAACAAACATGATCTACGAATGTAATGACACAAGGATTTTTCTAATCTCTCTAATGTTTGTTAATATTGATATTTACACATCCTAACACAGACTTCAGCAACCAAGCACTCAGCTAGTCTGCCAAACATACAATCAGTTGTAGTTTTAATTTCAGTTAATACTTTTAATGAAGTATTTTTTTAATGAGCTACTTTAACTTCACTTAAGTCAATATCCATAAATGTGTCTTTACATTTACTTAAACATGACAGTATGATATTTGAAACAACACTATATAAATAACACGAAAATAACACTGCACCACACCATGAGTAAAGTGAAGGACTCTGTGAGACTTGGGTTGGCTTTTCTGAATCAAATTTGTTCTTATATACAAACAATGCCTGTGTGTTATAATATTTGGAACACTGCTTTTCCGTTTTCACTGCCAGATTTTTGCCCATTTACACAGACGTTTGAATGAGCTCAGAAGGAAAAATCTTTATTTTATTACATCCAAGGGGCATCTGAAATGTTCTCAGCATAGCTTTGAAACATGTTTTGAGTCTTAAGACTACTGTCCCTGGAGAAGGTGAAAAGGCAAGAGTCTGCTGAAACCTCAAATAAACGCACACACAGAGTTCATGCACAGTTGCTGCAATAAAAATACACTGTTATAACTAATAAGAAGAAACTTGTGTCAAAGGGACAAACCAAACACTTTGTCAAGAAACATCTCATAAAAGTGTGGATAAGTGCGTGTCTGGGGCCCTGCACGTACATGTGTGCAAATGTTCCTAGTTTAGCCTGTTCTCATTCTCTTCCCAGCCACTCTAACTTCCCAGTTTCTAAGAATGCTTTGCTTATTTGTTTACTGATGACCGGGAACATCAAACAGACATGTTTCTCTTTTCTACAGCTGAGGAGAGCCAGTCATAAGGGACAACTGTGGTTGGTTTAAAGGTCTCCCTGGTGACTTAAGGGGGGTGGGACACATAGTTCTTGAGGAGGCTGGAGGGACAGCTGGATGAATGAATGACTGACACGACATCCTACCCATCATCAATGGTTTTCCAAATAAACAGGCCATTACTTTAAATATTTGAACCAGCTTTGAAATGGACAAAAGTAATTCCATCTGTGCAAATGGTATTCGATTAAGTGTGACATTCAGGGCCGGTGTTTGTGTTTGGTGAGTTTCTGGTAGAGATGCACCGATCGGCCAGGAATCGGAATCAGCTGATTTTCCTCATGATCGGCCCGGATCGGTGATCAGTCGGTCAGTCTCACTTCTTTCCGATTTCGATCCGTTTTGTTACCAGCAGCACAGGCAATAACATCAGCCGCACATTCTCGCTCTCTTCTCTCCGACAACCCCTTCTCTCACACACACGTCTCATTCGCTCTGGTTAAATAGTGCTTGTATTGCGCATTATTTAATCATTCCAGCAGGTTTCGCGCTTATACCAAAAGCGCATGCACCACCACTGATCTATATTAGTGGAGCGCACAATCACGCTCCGTCTCAAACAGCTTGTGAGCCACAGATACCAAATTGAGTGGCTAACTGCGCTAAAACGGTCAAATACATACAAAATTATGTCAAAATGCCTGTCTTGGCGAGTATCCAGTTAAAAACAGTCAGTTTTGGAACATTAAATAGTTGAGAAAGGGAACACATGTTGAGTAACAGTATATTGGGTCTGTGGATAAACTCTTAAAGGGACCACAGTCCAATATAACTGCTGCTGTCTGTCATGTTAATCAAAGAACAAAAGACAAAGAAAATCATTTTCTGCTCTTGACTGAATACGTTTTATAACTTTAATGGTAAGCATTAATCTGTATTTAATTTTTACAATGAAGACTACAGAAATTAAAGTAATCAAATGTAAAATAACACTGGATGTGTTATTTTACATTTGATTACTTTAATTTCTGTAGTATTTCTTACCTGAATAAAAACTTACTTAACCTGAAAAACTTAGTTTCATAGCTCTCTTTATTCTATTGCATTTATTTGTGCTGTTGTTTGCCATTTTTTTTTATTTGTTCTTATTTTATTACTGACTTTCTACTTGTGTTTTTTTATGAAAATAAAACTTTGCGTTGAAGAAAAGTAGATTTTTGTTTGTATATGCTGTCAATTATAGTTCTTAGAAAGAAAATCGGAATCGACAAAAATCGGTATCCGCAGATCACACTAACAAAAAATCGGAAATCGGAATCGGTCAAGAAAATTGCAATCGGTGCATCTCTAGTTTCTGGTTGTTGTCATGGTGATTACCTTTGATGGTGCTGATGACCCGCTCCAGATGCTGGCTCTCATTGCGGTCAGGCCGGCAGCTCGGGCTGATCTCCAGGGAATAATCCGGGCCGTATTCAGTGAAGTACTGGATTAGAGATAAGCAAAGCAAAACACAAAACGTACTTTAAGTCACCATTACTTAAAGTGACAATTCTTTACTGCAGCATTTATTATAAATTTTTTATTTGTGCACCTTTTTTAATTCATGTGTTTTAAAAGACTTCAAAAGAGATCATGAGGATGAATATATTTCATTCAAAAAAATTTTAATTTTGAAAAATGTTTTTTGTCCATTCAATCAAATCATAGGGGTCCCAAGTTATTTTCGACCATGCTGTCTTTCTTTCTTATAAACAAACTCTATGTTCCACAGAAGAAAGAAAGTCATAAGGGTTTGGAACAACGTAAGGGCAAGTGTATGATGACAGACTGTTCGTTTTTGGGCAAACTGTCCATTTAATTAAATTGCTATCAGTCAAAATTTGGAATTATGTGTATGCTATTCACACTTCCTATGACTTGCACTCAAAGAAAGTGCAAATGACTAGGATGGAGACAAACCAACGATTTTCCAGCTAGGACAGAGTCGCTGCTAATCACAGCTTCACTAATGACCTTTTAATGTGATCTAGGTTTCCTTCAATAAAACAAGTCCTGTTCTTTGTGAGATTTTTCTCAGCTAGAAAGCAGCATATACGTAAGTAAATATGGGAAGGTTTAGTGTTGGTAGGGTAACTGGTGTTTAAATTGGACAGAGATCAGATTTGGTTGTATGAGTGTTACACGCATTAGCTCAACTCTGCTTTCAATTACTTGTCCTTTGTTTATCCGGCTTACCTCCGGTCCCAATGCGCTCCAACATGTTAGGGTTTACATAACATATGAGTCTGTGAATGTGTGCAGTCAGGTTAGGTAGTTCACCCAAAAATAAAAATTATGTCATCAATTACTCATGTTGTTCCAAACCCATAGGACTCTCTTGTTTATCTTCTAAACAAAATTAAGATATTTTTAATCAATCCTGAGAGATTTCTGTCTCTCCATTAAAAGACCATTCCACCATAACCCTGATGCATCAAAAAGTTGTAATAATTTTTTGGGGGGGGTGAACTATCCCTTTAACTTGTTTCAAAAATAGATGACAAACAAAGTTGATTAAGTCAGATAAAATTAGACAATCCCTCCTCAACAGGACAGACTAAGAAAAAAAACAAAAACAATGATCCACTCTTCGAGTCAAAATATGTCCCAACACTTCATTGGCTCCAAGTGTCTCATTATAAAGGTGAGTTTAGGTTTCATCTCTTGACCTTTTCAACTTTGACCTCTTAACTATAAACACCACCCAAAATCCATTATGGATTTCCCCAAAGCTCATTTCCAGCATTTATTCCACTCCAGAATTCTGGGAGCCAGCTACTTCCCAGACGCAACGGCACAAAAAGTCCCACCCACAGAAGAAGATACAGAGGCCACACTAATTTGTTACTGTTGTGGCGTCACAAGTTTTGTTCAAGATGCATGAGATTGGAGAGGTTAAGGAACACCTGAAGGCCTGTTGTCTCCTCTGCTGAAAATTTGTAGTTGGCAAAAGACAGTAAGCTTTATGAAATCATAAGCTGTCAAAACATTCACTAAATCACTGAACACAGGGTGTATTTTATTATTATCTTTAGTCAATAACATGGGTGGACAAACAGCATCTACACTGTCTGAAAAGCTTCCCTTCTAGATCAGTCAGTACGTGCGGGTGGTAATGAGCCAAACCCGTGCTGACAGTCTGTCTGTCACACTTTACAGTGAAGTACCAGACCTGGTTCAAAGGGCAAAACTACAGACAATGCAAACATAACACTACTGGCACTCACAACATCCTGTTGAACTTGCTGTGAAAAAGTTGGCAGTCAGTGAGAACTTGTGTATGTGCATCAAAAAAGATTTCTAAAGGAACATTTCACAAAGGTAGTTATATCACAAATTGAGATACAAGAAAAACCAGCTGAACTCTGATGGTGAACTACCCTGCTGTGCATAATGGTTTCACAAAAATCAATTTGCAAGGCAACTTGCCCATCTAAAACAGTTCCACATTCGCACAACTTTAGTCTTCTCAATCCACACACAGGTCCTCTATAAGGGGTCTTTGCTGTCTGTCACTGTTCTGCCCAATGGGGTCTTCACCCCCTCAAGTTATGCAGAGAAGACAGAAAACCTTTCCACGTAAAGCGTAACCACAGCTGTCATCTTGAGATTGTGTTCATGTTAGCTGGCTGAGCTCATTAATGAACAATACACCTGTGTAGGATCCTGTAAATTCTGTGGCCAAGTGTTTGAGATCATGGGTGGAGTACTTCAGTTGATCACTGGTATGTTGACGTTTGTCTTTAAGAGACACTGTTTGTACAGTTGGGGGAAGTGATGCAGGTTGTCCATTCCTTGTAACCCCCTCTGAATTCTCATGTGAAATGGAGTTAAATAAAAGAAGAACCAGAGGGGGGAAATAGATCTCTGGGTGTTTGTTATTTCACTAGGCTGTGCTGAAAATAACTTGGCAGAAACAAGTGAAAAGGAGTTTTGTTTTTTTTTAAAGGAGAGGATGTACAGATGTCGACTGGCCACAGAGCAGTGAGCGCTGTTTCCACCCGTGGGCTGGGCTGAGCTGAGACCCTGATAGCACTCAAACAAAGACATAGCAAATTCCCTAACACTTGCTGATAAGATTTTGACCAGAACAAAGCCACACGTTCCCTGCCTAGCCAAACTGGCCATCAACAGGAACTTTTTGTAGATTTAACACTTTCCTGTCCTCTTAACCACTACAGACGACATTAAATGTACTGTATAGTTCACCCAAAACTACAATTATGTTATCATTTACTCAACCTCATGTCATTCCATAATTGTATGACAAGATATTTTGAAGAATGTTGGTAACTTAACTGTTTTGGTGACATTACTTAAAAGAAGATATTTTGAGAAATGTCTTTTTTATGTTTCACTGAAGAAAGAAAGGCATACAGGATTGGATCAACATTAATTTTAACTTTTAACCCTTTAACTTCTTCTGTAACACGGCTATTTAGTTTTTTGTCAGTAATCAACAATGCCAAATTGTCAACTGTACAATCTTCATTTAGAATTTCACCTCTCTTAAACAAGATAGTAAAAATGAATAATAAAAGCTTTATTCACACTGCAACACTGGTTCACCTATTAAAGGGGTCATATGATGCGATTTCAATTGTTCCTTTCTCTTTGAAGTGTTACAAGCTCTTGGTGCATAAAGAAGATCTGTAAAGTTGCAAAGACTAAAGTCTCAAATCTAAAGAGATATTCTTTATAAAAGTTAAGAGTCAGCCACACCTACCTAAAATGGCTCGTTCTAACACGCCCCCACATATCTACCTCACTATGTGGGAAGATTTGCATAACACCACCCAAATGTTCACGCAAAGAAAGAAGGCGAAACTTTTATTCTCGCTGTAGTATTGTTGCTGCCGCCATGTCGTGAAGACACTGTGCATTTTGTTGTGAAAGCGAAATTACTTTATTTGGCCTTCCAAAAGAGGACGATATCCGCTTCGTCATGCCGTGAGCTGATCCGTGCTGGTCGCTACGGAAATACATTAACTTCACGCTGTCGATCACCGGATCGGCTTTCACCGTGGACGAAGCGGAGTCCAGCCCGGGGTCGTCACATGTGGTTGCTGCAAGCCCGCCGGACGCTCCTTCGTCGAATCCGCCAGCCGGCCGCCGCTCACTCTAGCCCACCGTGTGTGACGCTGTACGTTTCGTTGTGAAAGCGAAACTACTTTGTTTGGTCTTCCAAAAGAGGACACGACTAGAAATCAGTGGTTAAGTTGTATTTACAACACTGTTCCAGAA